CCATAGGGAAAGGTATCTATGCCAGACCATTGTCAGGTCTGTTGTCACATGAGGTATATTATATGGGTTTTGAGGAAGCCTATATTGTCTTGGAGACAGAAATGAAATRTCTGTTCCATGAAAGATGTGACAAGTTTAAACAAAAGCCTAGATGCAAAGACCCACACAGCTGCTGAACTAGATGTAGCTCTATGGCTGGTGATATACGTGTACAAGATCAGACTAGAATTAATTGTCCTTTATGGTGTTTACAAATCTGTACTCATTCTGGTAGCTGAATCATTTTGCTATCATGTTAACTCCTACAAAGAAGTGTTGATAGGTATTTACTATCTTATTTAAAAATTCCATTCTGATGTTGCATTACTTGTGCRAGTAGATCTGCAAAGAAAAGGAACAGTTGTCACTGAAAAAAAMCCCTTACCTATGAGTACACGTCTCAGGATCATTCTTACTCAGAATGTTTTAATTTTCTGATAGTGCTTTGATTTCAGTGTTTCTTTGTGAACTTAACAGCTTAAGTCTAGTGTTTGAACAAAGTTCCTCTGCCCAACAGTTTTTGTGTGTGTGTATGGAAAGCATTTACATTTTACTTCATTGTTAGCAGTGTGTTTCCTCATTTTGTGACAAATGGTCTTTTTGATGAGCGGTAACCTAAGGCCAGAATGTTTAGCAAAAAATAATTCACCATAAAATTCCACATGATGAATCAAAACACAAAGTTTTCATTTCTTTAAGACTCCTACATATGAAGAATGCCATTTCAAACAAACAGAAATTACTTAGGAACTGATTGTTCTAACATACAGTTTTATACTGGAACATTTCCATTAGTTGTGGGATTAGTTGTAGCACCATATGGACATAATTTTTGGTTTACAATACCAAGATAAACCAAGATTATAGTCAAAGCCACGTGATGCTTCCTCATCATGACATATATTCAGTASAAAATAGAGATAAAACCATATATATGGGTGTATGTGTATATATTAAAAAGGTGTAAAAATATATATGCATATTTTTAATCTTATGCTTTTGTACATATGTGTTGTTGCATATATTCACATTTTCTATTGCCTTACTATTTGTGATCATATATTTTCAAGTTTTCTTGAAGCAGTTGTTTCCAATAGTGATTTGTTCACAAATATGGATTTCATGTAGGGTTAAGAAAACAATTAATAAGGCAATAACAACTTAATATTATAAGTATATGGCAAATTTGTGTCGTTTACAACAAACTTAATAGTTTATCAAATGGGACTTAACATTTTCTAGTTGTCTCATTAAATTGGAATTAGATGCAGAGCTGGGAATTTTAATTGAAAACATTCACCTTTATTACTGTAACATGTAAGCATATAGCTATGGTAAGATACTTGTAAAATGCAGGGTTCAATTTTGTTAACAGTTGATTTTAGAAAGAATTCTAAAGAATTTCACTTCACAAAAAAAGGGGGATTTTACAAAATGATTTCAGGCAAGAGAAGATTGTAACGGTATGGTTTAATTAACTTTACTAAAGCTTATAATAATTAATGCTTATTCCCAGCACTTAATGAATAGTTATTTGCTACAAGTCTTAGTATAGTAAGTACTGTTGAAGTAACTGCACAGAAAGCAATACTGAAATGAAATTACATATTAGTGGAGATTTGACCCATTTGGAATATTCACACTATCTACTTCAAAGCCTGTAACTCAGGGCTCTCCCTCCTAACAATGCCTGCCTTCCCTCTCATAACTATATAAGAAACTTAATTTATTTTCTCCTGCATCAAAAATTTCTGAAATGTTTGTTGTGAAACACTATGCATGCATTGAATAAAATGTAAGAAAAAAATATTAAGATACCTCAGTGCCTTGTACACCTAAAATTAATGTTCCTATGGTAATTCAATGAAGAAATGTAAAAAATATTAATATTTGTTTGAGAAATAAGCACTTTAAGTGATAATGGCAAAGAAGCATTTCAAACAAATTTGCAGCTAAGTGGGACTCAGGCATAATAGCTGTCCTGGGCTTCCTCCAGAGCAGTTTTGCTGCAGGTCTGTGAAGCCTGATGGAACAGCCAATTTTAATGATGTTTGAGGAGGCCACTTCTCCGTATGTATACTTGGGTAAATCTGGAAAACTGCATAGCTACAGATCTGGGTTTTGAATGCGAATGTCTGCTAGACACAGGCTGTCAGCTGTGAGTACTCACCTGTTTGTGCACTGCCACACAGAGTGACAGGGTCCTTCCTCAGGGAGCTAAGGACACTACTGACTCCTGCTCCGCTTTGTGCAGAGCACTCTGTAATAAGCAGTAAGAAGCAGCAGCCCTATGAAGTGTCAGCTCCACTGGGGAGCTTCCAGCCCCAGGAAAATCATTCTCCCAGGTGGGGAGAGGGTAAGTAAGGAAAAAAAAAACTGCAGGAACCAGCCTTGGCAAGCAGAACTTGCTAAATACTGCATTGAGATGCTCACAGTTTTCACCACAGATCTATTCCCTTGGCTGTAGTCCCTTATCTTGTATTTGAGCAGTTAATTACTCCCACACATCTGTGCAGCTTTGAGCTCTGTCCAGCTAAAGACCATCAACATATTTTTTCAGTCTAATTTTCCACGGTCACTCTGAATTCTAACTCCCCCTTTGTGAGTAACTGAACATCTTCGTCTTACTTTGGCACTTTACATGTCTTCTTTCACAAGGGCAAACATGACTTTCAAGGACATGGATGTAATCTGTGTTCTTCTTCTTAAAAAAAAATCTATTTTGGTTTATTTAAGTGATATTGCAAATGTGAAGTTAATGAAAATACTTAAGAACCCAAAAATAATGAAGAATATTTCTGCTAAGCTCTCTGGTCCCTCACTTATGCCTCATAGAGAGTGACGAAATAAGTAAAAACTTGATTTGCTCAAATTAAGTGAACTTAATTTACTTCAGTGAAGACACTTAAATTGGAGGGCCAACAACCAATGTTGTGATTTTATGCATTTGGCTGCATGCATAAAATGGAGAATTTCACCCAGTCATTCTGGCACCAAACTCAGAAAATGCAGTTGATCATAAATCGAAGTGAACTGCTTGGTTCAATTTTGTTTGGAAAATTATCAGTCGGAGACTGATATACAAACAAACAACTGCCATGCAGAGCCAAACTCCAAATATAAGAAATAAAAATAAATAAATAAAACAACAAAACCAAAAAAAAAAAAAAGATTAAACACCAAAAACAGAGAGTCGAAGATTTGCATACGTGCTGCTCAGAATTTTCCAAGCAAGCCCCCAAAGTAGCCTTGTCACAGAGAACGTTATAAAGAAAAAAAATATAATAAAATAAAGGAAACTATTTAAAAGTCTTTCATTTAATCTGGTACAAAATACCATATGTTTTGCATGCTTCATTAATGCTCCCTGGTTTGCTGCCTACAAATGCACAATGAGTTCAACCTTCAGGGGTCAGCAGTGTTCAGCGTATCGGCTACAGGAATGGAGTTGTAAGAGACTGTGGGGACTATCAAATAAGGGCCGTCTGTCTTGAATATTAATACTGCAGATTTTAGGTTGGACTGTTTGGAATCTGAAAACCAGCTAAGTACATTCCCCACCTTTGTTGTGACATGCAAGCGCCACTAATCACCTGCATGGTTCCCTTGAGAGAGAAAAAAAAAGGGGATATGTCATTTAGAAACTGCACTTGGAGAATATTATTGTGAATATATTGGCTAGACTGTAAAATTTTCTGTTTGCTCACAGTTTTGACATCAGATAGATACAATAGCTTTTTTGAGCTTTCTAGTGCAGCGGACGCCCTGTTTTGAATGATAACATTCATTTTCGGAAAGCCTAATACTATCAGACTGGCTGTGTGTCGTTTTGAATAAAGCTTCCTAAACGCAGCAGAGGTTTTATGGCAGCACTGAAATGCAATGCAGAGAGGATTTTTCACTGTTTCATTTTTATGCCTAGTGGTCTTTTGTAGACTGTTCAGCCTGATTTTAGTCTTAGTAGATTACCTTCAAATTAAAGTAAATTAAAGCTTGGGATTTATTCAAAGTGCAATGCCTTAGTCCACTAGAAGTCTAACAAAAGCAAGAGAGCACAATCTTTACAGCATGCAAAGCCGAGAAGTGGAAGTGAAATGACCCAAACAGAAGATTTCTCCTGTTACAACGTTAACATTATTGCTATTCCAGGTTTTCTTATTCTTGTTAAATAACAGCAGACTGGATAAAAAAGGAATGAGAACTCTGATGGATATGCAAACATAATGATGACAGTACCATAAATTACTGCTTACCATTTCCTCAGTGCAAAATCTGCCTCTTTTGAGCTACACTGCACCAAAAGCATTATAATATTATTCAGGACAATACAAGGAATATATATTTGTATCAAAATCTACTTAGGGTAATAAGCATTCCTGCTTCCTAAAGACAAAAGCAAAATAAAAACCCAGGAGRTTTTTCATCTCATTGAAACTGTACACAATACACCAGTAATGCAAATGCATATACAAAGAGACATATTTATACAAGGTTAAAATACTGTCTGAATGTTGGCACAGTGTTGGGCATGTAGAATTACACTGTATTTAGAATAACCTATTCTGTATCTAACTTAAAATCCCAGCCATATCCCCTGAAGGTAATTTTATTTGACCTCAAGTTAAAATAAACAACAACAAAAAAAGAAGAGCTTATACAGCAGCCATTTCTTTGCTATGTCTAAGGCATCTGTCAAGGCACTACAAGTGCAGCCTCAGTGCAGAAAGTGTTAGTGGTGCTGAAACATGTTATTAGTGTAAATCTTGGCCTGTACTTGGCTTTATATTTAATGATAGGATGTCTAAACTACTTCGATCTGTACTAATGTAGTTGATAGAATGAAAATTCTTTCAGTCAATTAGCGTTTTGCTCTAATGCAGTTAGCTACACGATCCAGCCTTCAAGTACTGATGTTTCGTTACACTACAATCTTTCATCCATTACATAGCTAGGTCACTTACCACAAGGGAATAACAAATCTTGAATCCAGGTTTAGCCACAAAATAGTCATCGGATTTGAAGGTAATCTTTATTTGATTTGTTTTCGAGGTTATTCTTGGAGGTGCTTCCTTGTGTCCACACCATCGTCCTCGTATAACTGTGCTGGTCTCCGATATGTCTTCTACTTCCACAAAGTCATACCTGGGAAGCAGTTTGATGGATAACTCTGGTTACAGGAAGTTGTCGCAAACAGACAGAAACACAGTTTGAGATACAAAGACAGCTGTCCACTGTTCTCCACTACAAATGGTGGATAGGCTTCCCTAGCACAAAACATTATAAACTGCAAGCTACTGTCTAAATACTCAAACAGCTGCTTTTTTCACTCTTGGAACATGACAGACAATATTTTCTGCTATATTGAAAGGGCAATGTGAGGCACTTAAAAGTTTTAAATATACTCATGGCATTCCATGTGGTGAATAGAGATTAGACAAAATATTATTTAAGGCATGTTGCCCAAGCCCAGCAGCCACAAGCATTTGAGGGCTTTCTGGTGGTCTCCAGTTGCCCTGCAGCAGCCACCTCTGGCTCCTTCCTTCCGCACGGAGCAGGAGCAAGGCTGCTGCCACGGCTGCAACAGGAGACCATGTAGGGTAAGGAGAGTAGGTGCTCCTGTAGGTGCCCTTTAGGATCCCCAGAAGCAGTCACTGCCCCTGCCTCTCACACCCCGTTGCTGACAAGAGGCCCTGCCATGACGGCCAGGGGTTGAGCATGCGCCCGAGGAGGTGCTGGTTGCTGAGGCTCCCTGTGCTGGTCACCGTCCCCGCTCATGAGGGGCCTGTCCTGCACCCGGGGGCCAGCCCCTGCGCTGCCCATCCACCATGCCGACTGGCTGCAAGGAGAGCGCTAAGCTCGGCATACTCAGAATTTCATGGAGAAAGGGCTTCCTGCAACAAGACATCTTTAGAAGCCAGGRACCAGAATACACTTGGTAGGTGGCATGATGTTCCAGTTAGATCATTTGGAAAAGCGTGTTTCAGGCTTTTCAAATTTTGAAAAATTTGTTTCAGCCTTTGCACTCTGTTTGCTCGGGTACTATCACCAAAGGAAAGACAACAGATGTGTCATTCTGTGGTGGCAAAGGCAGCAGCGTTTCTTTCCCTGTGCAAGGTCACACCTTTGCTTGCTGTCAGGTAAATATATCACAGCCCCTGAGCCTAAACATCAGCTCTATCCGGACTTCATCCACTGGATACGAAAGGACCTGAAGAGCCACACAACAACAGTGCTGATTGCCACTATATATTCACCAGCTCGTGTCATTTATGGAATTTCCTTGGTGTTGATTGCAGCTGGGGAGGGAGAGCTGATGACAAGATGAGCAGAAGTGCATAGACAGGAGAATGAGAAACGCAGGAAGTTCACAGTACAGTTAAGCCTTAAAACTTTGGAGGTCTTTACTCTGGAAAGGTTGTTATTATCAAAGCATGCACTGCTCCAAGAAGCGCATTTAATATTGTTAACTGATTCTTACTAGAAATGTGTTATCAAAGAGTTCCTCTATCCCCTTGGGTCTGTGGATCAAATGCTTGCCTCTCTACCCTGCTTGTGGGAGCTGAAGAACTCTGTAAATAACAGACCTGGTTTTCTTTTTCTGCTGAGAAGCCGTGTGAAAAAAAAAAAAAAAGTACCATACAGCTTGAAAATATCATCATTACTGCTTTTATGCTCACAAACCCCAAATTACACAGAACAGAAAATAACAGATTTACTATAACCAAATCACTGAATCTGTCTAAACTCTGCTGAAACAAACATTTTTTATGCCATAAGAATGTTTTGTTCCACGCAAAGGTACTCTGGCTTCCCAGCTGCCCGTGCTATCCCCTACGGCTGCACCACAGCCCTGTCCTTGGTGTCCTGGGGACAAGCTTGACTGTGAGGGTGACAGAGCCCTGRAAGAGRCTGCCCAGGGAGGCTGTGGAGTCTCCTTCTCTGGAGATCTTCCCAACCCGCCTGGCTGCCACCCTGTGCCCCGTGCTCTGGGTGTCCCTGCTGGAGCAGAGGGGTTGGACTGTGTGGTCTCTAGAGGTCCCTTCCAACCTCAACCTTTCTGTGATTCTGTGTGCAGCTTTGAGGCTGTGCTCGAGGATGATCTCTGCTCAGAGACCCTCAGGCTGCCTGAAGCCGGTGCAGGTAACGTGGACGCTGAGAGTGCCCGGTCTTTGGCTGTTAACACTTCCTGTAAGATGAGAAACTGTAAAATTTTCAGCGGAAGACTCGGCATGACCTTGTACGCTTTAGTGAAAATTACCTGTCTGGCCTACACTTCCTGAGGTCAGGAGCCAGACTACCTGCTAGCAAAACTGGTGCAAATCTATTGACTTTAGAGAAAGCTTTTCTGCTTTCCAAAGCAGTGGCTTTGCTGCAAAGATCATGGATGTAAATGTAATCTCAGTTGTTTCTGCACATCCAAAGAACCTCAGAAGCTGGGTAATTTAATTGCTTTTCAGAATTATCTTTTATCAAGTGCCTTTGGAAGTGCTAATAGTACAACTAGAAAAATTTGTAAAACCTTAAATATTTCCCATCCTTCTGAAACAGCTCTGGTAAAAATATTTTTTTTTAATTCCTCAGTCTGAATTTCAATCAGTTCAGTCCTAATAGTATGCAAATTGCAATAATTAGCATTAATGAAAATTTGAAAGAAAACATTAGGATGTTTGTGGAAGAAAATATAAGGCCAAAAGGAAGCAATGCTGTAGAGGCTCTGTCTCTCTAAAGCAGTACCAGAGAGACTGTTAGAGTATAAAGTTAAAGAAAGTACCCACTTTTGAAAAACCTATCAACATATCATATTTAAAAAAAATCTCACAGTACTGTACAGTACTTAGCAATCTCAAAACCATTACAAGCTGTCTCCATGAGAAATTCCTCACTCTGGAAACAATACTATGCAAATAAAAATCCTCCAGTAACTCCAGGGAAAATTCTATTTCAGGAAAGAATGTGGTATTTTTCCAGCTTTTATAGACACTATAGACTATAGAAGGTCTTTGCTTCTCTCTGCATTATAAATTAGTTGTGCTGGAAAAAAGCAGGCAGACTGCTTTCCAAGATGGTCAAAATCCAGCATGTCGATAATGACTTGACTTCCCCTCACCATGTCACCACCTTTAACGGCACTTAGAAGAGCATACTTGGTCTCATTTTCCACAGTAAATTAGCCTTGTGTTTCAAGGTTGAAATGATTTAAGGTCAGCCATAGTTTATCCTCTATGTAAATATTAACAGGCCGCTTCTGTATGCATTAGACTCTCAATCTGGAGAAGTGTTTGTGGCACTGGAAGGTAACTGTTGTTACTTAAACTGCTGTTGATCTCAGACCAGCAGCACCAGAGCAGAGCAGACGCTGCCAAGACAATAAACATGTAGGGAAGGAGAGCCAGTTTCAGGCTGCATTCTTTTATTATTAAATGGAAAAGAATCTTGAAGAAATGGTTCTCTCTCTTTATTGGTAAGGCAGAAAAAAAAGAAAAAAAATCCCTGTAAGAACCCTGCAGAGTTGCCACACCCTATAAATGCCAATTAATAGACAAAGATGGTAAGGTAAACTGGAGGGTGTGCAGAAATCCTAGCAATGTAGTTCTCTGCATTGATAAAGCAGGGAGTAACAACCTGACGGGGCTGAGGGGAAGCCGAGACTTGAGCTTTGCATGCAAACAGCGCCGAGAACCCTGGCTCTCGGTGAACACGTGTGGACTGTGAGCCTGCTCTGCCCCACGGATCAGATAGCTGAGCAAGAGCAGTGTAAACAAAACAAAAAATAAAACATGGCTTTATACTGTTAGTAACGGCTGGCGATGTTCAGCTGTGTGCTGCAAATGCAGCTATCCCCCTGGGTTAATCAGCCAGCTTGACGGGAATTATGGCTGCTTCTGCTCGAAAGGGGAAGCTGAAACTGCCAGATGATACTAATGTTCACTCTGTTTTGGTATGAGTATGCTGAAAATACACCAATGTTTGTGAATCTATATTTAAGGGTTTTAAAAGAAACTGTGCCAGCAAGGGGTAACATTAAAGACAAACAACTAATTTGAAGAGCTGAGCACTGCCAAATTCACACATACCTATCTTCCAGCGCCTTATGCCTTCTGAAAAAAAAAAAAAAAAAAAAAAAGTATTTTTTTGTGCCTGTTTGAAATCTGACAGAAGTGACAAAGGACAAAATCTTACTTAAGTAGTACCAGAGTTGTTAGGCAGACAGTTTTGAGGCAAGAAGTGTACAAGCGCTTTGCACTTAAAATACTACATAAGGGCTGAAACCCACCAAAACTGCTCCTAGTCCAGCATAACTTGGTTTATTTAAAAAACCACAGGCCATTTTGCAAAGCGAGGACGGGCTCCTCGGGGGAGCCCTTTGCGAGCTGCCGCACAGCGTGTCCGTGCACTCACCGGCAGATATCATTCTCGGGCTCCTCCAGTCCGAACTGGTTGTCGAAGGCCAGCTGGATGCGCGTGCTCTCGGGCGAGTGCAGCCGCCAGGTGAGCAGCAGGTTTCGGGGGTAGCTGCTTGGGAAGCGCGGGCTGTGGAGGCAGCCGTTTCCTGCCACGCTGATGATCTCTTCTTTCCGGTACAAGTCTGTGAGGTGATTGCTCTCTGTTAGTAGTCACAACTTGTAGAAATTAGTATGTTGCTCCAGTTACAGGAAGGCAAAAAAACACAACAGTTTATAACACAGCACGAATTACTTGCATTTAAAGTCAATAAAAAGTAGGGTTTAGGAGCAGTTAATGTTAAATAAAAAGCAYATATATAAATATTTTCTATTAATTCAACCCCCATTTATAAAATAAGAACAGCTCTTTGTACATATCCTTTATTTTATAATAAGCATATCATTACTTTTACATCTCTCAATTACATAATTTCTCTCTCATCATTTTGATTTTAATACAGATTTTAAACCTTAATGGAAGTGTGAACCATGAAAACAATGACGTGAGAAAGAGTAAAGTAAGACAGTACACAACCCCACTTCCCCAATGTTGTCCTCCAGGGAGAGATGCCCTTGGGAAGAAAGCAGCAATAACAGGGCTACAGGGATTTATGTGCAGGTCTACGTGTGCTTATTGTGCTTAAGCATTTCCTCTCACAGGGTCAGTTCACACTTTGATTTCATTTATACTGTATTAATCTTTTACTGTCAATGGATCATTTATAAAAATTGTTAATCTAAACTTAAACTCATGTAACTGAAATCAGAATCTGGCCCACCAACCATTTTTATTGAATAAAAATATCAAGAGGAACGGCAAAGTCCTCACTTAATTAGAATTCCACATCWTCTGCCTGCGCAAATACTCAATTGCTCCCAAAGTTTACTTGTACCGAGGTAAGGCCCCAGCTGCTGTAAATCCCAAGCTCCAAGGAAAACAGCAACCGTGGCAATTCTCCCAGTGAAGACCTCTCCCTCTAAAAGTCAAATGTTTTCTCAGTTGCAACATGCACTTGGATTGCCCATCTGTTACTGAGAGTRGAATTTGGCACCCAAATGACTTCCAAAAAAACTAGTTTTTAGCACATTGGCACTTTCAGTGTGGTGAAATTTTGGAGATGAAAAAGAATTCAAGGCAACATGCAGCTCTGGTGGCCTTCAGCTCCCAGTTATAACATTTTAATGTAGGGCTCCACGTGTAAGATAGCTGCTAGATGGCTAGTAAGTTCCCCTTGTAATGTGTGAAGTTGTAGGACTTGGTGCAGCTGCCCACTGGGAGATAAATACCCAACAGCATTTTAATAAATTCAACTGTTTTCTGTCTGGTCTTCAGCTGCCCCTCCTTCTCCTCCAGAAGAGAATAGGGTCCAGCCCAGGCATAAGCCCCATATCAGCTGTGTTGTCTCATGTGGTCCTCTCTGTGTGGCATACTGAGCCACTCCTCAATAGAGTGTGGCCTACGCTGCAAGAGAGGTCTTGACTCAGCTACCCAACTGTATTGACTGAATCTCCACTGACTGATGAGAAATCAGGTGCTAGCTTTCGAATAGACACCTAAGCTCTAGTGTTTTGATCTTAAACTGATCATCACCCTGATCATCACTGTGTCCAAGGTCAGGTCAACCTTAATTTCCACTGCAATCCACAGAACTTCAGAACTGGCGCCTTCTCCTGAACTGACTGCATAAAGAGCAGAAAATACAGAATTTCTATGCCCTTTTCCTAAGCAACTATGAATGAAAGCCTCTCCCACCAAAACATCCCACAGAACTTCAGAACTATGGCCCCATAATTTGTCAGAAGCACAAAGCAATGAGAAAATGAAGTGACTGGGACAACCATCTGTCACACCATAATCAAAGGCTTGTCGTTTAAAATAAAATCTAATGTTTCACTGAAGCCTACTAAGCTCTCTAGATAAAAACTATTTATTTATTTAGTAAAGGTTCATAGAAAACAGCAACTAAGAGAAATGGCACAAACTTCATGGAAAGTGTATTTATTTTTCAGGTTGCTTTCCACTTGTTCCTGGCTGTAAATATTTCTCTGCACCAGGCTGTAAGCACAGCACAGCAGTGTGTCAACAGTTCATTGTACTCTTCTGACAAGGTAATAATTCTAGTTTCCAAAAACCCTGAAACTTAAAAAGATTTCACAAATAGATCTTTGGGGATAGTTTTTTTATAGGGAACCCAGACTTTTATCTTCTAAGAACCTTTCTTTTAAGATGAAATGTCCCAAACTACATTTCTTGATGCAGCCTTTCTAAGTAAATACAGCCTTGACTCTGCAGATCAAAAAGAACAAAACGAGCCTGTTTTGTTTTGTTCCTTTTTTGACCAAGCTATTTTACATTGGAAAAATGACAATCCAGCGAAAATGGAGACCATCCCACCCATCAGTTTGGTTGCAGTTTTCATCAGGAGCATCTATACTCAATTATATTTTGTATTTTATTTTATTATAATCATTGTCCCCTAGAAAATAATAAGGCTGCTGGAWTTTTTTTTTCCCCAATCTGGAAAGAAACAAAATGTCCAGCCAATCCTACTGAGTTGCTGAGAATCTCTGAACTCTAAAAGTACCTAGCAAACCCAAGGGGACAGAGTATTTCATAGGACTGATTCCAGAATGTCCGGGAAAAGAGATAAAAATAAAACAGTTTTGATGGAAGCAAATTCATAACTTCTGAATGAAGCAACCATGACATAATTCAGAGCAAAAGTTACTGTACTAAAACATGTCAGAATTCATCCCATACACAGGATGAACCTTATAAATACTTTTCCTTCTTGAACATCAGCCTCTTGCAGTTCTCCCATTATCAGCACACATTTCACTCTGCAGTTCATCACGATTCATACTTGAAACATTCCCTTTTTCCAAACAGTATAGATTTTACTCTGGAATTCTTAGCTGCCAAAACTAGTGTGCTAGAAACAGTATTTTTAAGTGTCCTCATTTATACACCTCAAAACAAAAAGTCTGTATGATTTACTCAGCATACCAGTAGAGAGGGTATATTACTAGCATGCTTGTAATCCAAGGAAATAGGCTCCACTGCAGTTTTTCATTAACTTAAAATGTGAGTCATTCATATYGGGATGTTCTGCCAGCAAGTCGACCACAGTTGACTAGATCAGCACTGAAATGTAATGTCTGGCAGAGCTCTGCCATATCCAAGCTGATCAGGTAAATGCAGAAATAAAACTGCACATGTCAAAAAGCTTACTCTCTGTCATGGCAAATATGGTAATTTTGCAGTAACTTGTTATACAAGGAAAGTTTGAAAGTAGCAAGGGGGCGGAATTTTTAATATAGTAAAATAGGAGACATAAAAATATTACAGTATGAAGATTTCACTTTTCTGTACTGGAAGAAACTCCAGCTGATAAGACTGTTGATATACAGATAAGAAAGACAGTTGATAATATTGTTTCTATAACTCTTCACATATAGGATAAAATGCAAAGTCATCATAACCCTCACCAGACTTTTCAAGAGCTCTGTAACAGTCCTTTTCCCTCTTACCTCTCTCCCCACATTCAATCTTCGTTCAGTCCAACATTACTATATGAAGTGATGGGTTATTGAATGCCAGGTCTGGAACCCAGAGCACTAGAGGTTTCTAATGTGATTTTCAAGTGCAGTTTTGGCGAGATCACTGAGTTAGACATAGGCGCACAGTCAGCGCAAACTCAGCATCTGGAGGTGGGCCCCTTATGAATCACCAGGCATCTAAGAAACAGCTTGAGGTGATTTGAGCAGCTCCTGTAGTTCTTGGAGCAAGTGAGATGTGAAACTAAAATGACAAGACCTTTCCAAGCAGAAAAGCATTATCCTCAGCAGATACTTTGTGGGAACTTGTGGAAACCAAATACTGGCCATGGAGAAAGACAGGAAAAAGGCACTTCAGARAAGATATAAGCAAAGGAGGAGGCTGCATCACCCTCTTTCAAAGCACTGAACTGTCCTGTCTTGTAATGCAATATGATGCAGTATTATACAGTGTCCTCAATGTCATGTACTAACTGTATTCCAAAATGCTTTATGGGAGTAAATAAAAGATGACAGGGGGTAATACACTGCCTGTCACATTTACTAAAAAGCATATAAAATCATTTCACAACGAATAAAACAAAGCGTTAAGTCATACGGCAAAAGCAGAGGCTATTTAAGCAATACAAACAAGGAAGATATTCTGGGAGGCAGAAGCTGCAAGATATGCACAGTCCTTGCACATGCAGGACTGTGGGGAGAGCTATTAAGAAAAGCGAGTGAGAAGCAGGCGGGGAGACATCCTTCTCACGGAGGCAATCCCCAGCAGAGGGACTACACTAACATGGAAGCAGCTTGCTCTATATTTTATTTATCAGAACTAATCTCCCATTTTTCCCATCTTAATTCTCACCCAAACACTAATTTTAAACACAGTGTTGTACAAGACAGTCCAGCTGTCCAAGGCAGAGGAGTTCCCACTTAAGTGCTAAAAAATAGCTGAGTTTTTAGACAGGCTTGTGTTCCTCCCCCTATATGGAGAGCAGCTGAGTGTGAAACACAGGGGGAAGTTCAGTTCAAAACTCAGGGAACAGTCTTGTCTGAAGACTTTCCCTAATGCGGGTGGCCAACACATCTGATGTTTTACTTTTGCAGCAAGGACACACTTTCCTCATGTCACGCTACATGAGCAGTAAGATTCAGAAACACAACTTTAGTCCTTTATTTGCTCTGGATGCCTGCATTTCCTTTTAAGCTTTTGCAATATATTGACACATTCTTGTTAAAACAGATCCCAAACATGACATATCAGCTACAGAAAGAAGTTTGCTTTTATTATTATCCTTCAACAGAGAATGAATTCCTTCACTTAAAATCAAAACAAAACCAAATACAATTACTACTTGATAACAGCTAATCTGCCATCTGTTCTTGGCCATCCAGGGAGCAAGGAGAGTCTGTAAGTGTCAGCTACTTCAGGAGGAATTCAACGATTGAGCTTGTTTAAAAACCAACCCAATACTGTGGAATATTTATTTGACTTTTCTAATGTTTCTAAAATTTTTTTGCCTCACTTTCTAAGCTGTTGTTCTGTGTATATGTTTGCTTCTGTTTTTCTTTCCAACATACTTGTAGAAGCTGTTGGCCAACTTCAACCAAATCT